TTTAAAGAGAAGCTTTTCACCCGAGTACTATGTCCATTGTCTTAGTAACTGGTCGTTCATGATAAGCCAAACTTCTAAGTAATATAGTAAAGTTATCTTTTTAAAATGTATTCCAGTCCCTAGTGTACGAGACCAAAACCCTACACACTTGAGCTACTCTCGGCTTACACACACACAAAAAAGGGAAAACTAAATGTTTTTGCAAGAGAAAGCGTTATATCCTCTAGTCAGCCTCAGTGTTATAGCATACATATCTGTAATCTTGAATCTCATAGGTGTACTTCAATATTTCACTTTATGTCTTTATTTTCTATTTTGAAACAAAAAACAGTAGTCTTTTATTAGTAGAAGGTAATGAAGGATATTCAACAACAAACCTTTAGTTATTGTAAATTAGTGTCTGAATAACAACAAAACAGAACAAGCAGATGTTTTACACTTGATAAAAAAGTACGAAGATATTTTTTAAAGCACGTTTCTGTTTGTTACAGAAGCAAAGTCCAAGGTAGCTGTTCGTCTAGTGGACGGTAGGACTCCTAACGAAGGACGTGTAGAAGTAAGATACAAAGGTACTTGGGGTACCATATRCAATGATGGTAACTGGGACATAAGGGATGCTTACGTGGTGTGTCACATGTTGAATTACTCCAAGGCAGTTACAGCAACAACTGCTAGCGTCAAAGGAACTGGTCTTATATGGCTTAAATTAAGAGTTTATGGTTGCTATGGACACGAAGAATCTATTGATCAATGTTGGCATTATGACTGGGGTAACACTGGTGGATGTGATCATAGCCGTGATATTGGAGTGTTATGTGGCAATCTAACACCAGGTACACCTAGATAAGCTACAAAACACTCATATGATCTTTGCTTATCTATTCAATCGTGTCAAAAAAAAATTTTTTTTTAATCATCAACTGATAATTCTTGCAATAGTTCGTTTTCCATTTTTATCAAATAATAAAGTCATTTTTTGTGACCACGTTGATTAGGATAGTTATCTATATATGTTTATTATTACTTTCTGAAAATCAAATGAGCTAATGTAAGGGATGTGATTAGAATGTTGGTTGTTTATTGAACAATATTTGTTTCAGATGAGAAAGCGATCAAAGTTCGTTTGGTGGGAGATCAAGACCATACTGGCAAAGTAGAAATCCAGTATCAAGGGACCTGGGGAGTAGTTTGTGATTATTGGTGGAATGGGTGGTGGGATATACGAGATGCTCACGTGGTCTGCCGAATGCTTGGCTACAAAGCAGCTAAACACGCAATTCGCTACATTGAAGGAGGAACACCAAGAAGAGGGCTCATGTATGATGTGGGATGCAGAGGTAGAGAAAAGTCGATAGCAGAGTGTGCTCACTCAGGATGGTGGAAGGTCCTTTCATGGTG